AAATAAAAGCAATAGGGAAATACCCATTGTTGCCTGGTGAAGGCCTAATCACATGGACACAGCTGGAACCAATGTAGATCATTCATTAATAAAATTGTATTGTAGTAGCCACTTTTTGATGCATTTCAAGTGCTGCTTTAGCCAAATCCCTAAATTTCTTTGTTCAATGTTAGTAAGATTGTTTTAATGCGAAATATGAGATTTAGGACAGGGGAAAAAAAAAACCTGTTCTCATGCTAAAAATGAAGCTAACTCAAAAAGCTAAATGTCACTTTACCTTGCAATCTACTTACACTATCAGCAGCTTAAAATATGCAGTGTAAACCTAAAAAGGAGGAACTCATATGGTACTATAGATAAAAAGTGAGCAGTGTGAGATGCCATAGAAAACACATGAAATACTTGTAAAAGTATTCTACAGAATAATACGTCAGAGGGTGGGAGAAATTAAAACGTATCAAAAATTAAGAGGAAATTAACATGTACCCTTTCATGCAATACTATCTATTGAATTTTGACACTAAAGTATGTACCGTATGCTTAAGGGAAGATTACTCATATTTAGACCACATAAACTTAAAAATCGCTATTTGTTATTACATTACCAATATTTGATATCAAACAAGACATTCAAACCATCTTCCTGACAGTCATATTTGAAGTCTATATTGACATTCAAATGAAATGAAGTACTAGTTATAATTATAAACTTAGTACTTAATATAGTAAAATCCTAGTTAAAATAATCAACAGTATTTATTCAATTTTGCTGTTACCTCTTAATAAATGTGTTTCTCCGTGTTTTTACAAATATAATGATTAAGTTACTATACTATGTTCCTTAAAAATATATAATGTCAAACTAAAAAGATACAATAGCTTTGCTATGTGTTCTGAATTAAAACTATACAATTTATTGTCTATAAATTCTATTCTACAAAAATGAAAAACTCAACCGTATTTACCAAAAAACTGCTTAAACATTATGGCTCTTAAATATTTCTCCCATGCCTCTGTGTGTAGTTAGAATAAATAAATAAATAGAACAATTCACATTGTCCTAAATCACTGAAAGATATATTCTTACCACAGAAAAAATAAAGAGCTTCACTGCAAATAAAAATTAAACTACTGCAGAAAGTGTATTTAAAGTCACTGAATAGTGGTTAATATGCAATAAACATTATTCAGTATACACAGAATGAAAGAGGCTTGTGTGTGTATGTTATCTTTACTCGCTAATGTTAACATTATCAGACCTTGCCACAGGGGATTCAAGACAGTCATGAACTTAACTGGATCAAGTGAAAAAAGTTTCACTGGCATTCCTTCGCAAAACTCTCAGAATTCAGAAGTTTAAAATGTTGACCGAAAGATTTAATTCATATAACTTAACAGGCATCCCACCCAGATTCATTTTAGTAGCTCTGCATAAAAAAAAGCCACTTTGCAAGTTTAAAAAGATAGCATTGGGAGCAATGGGAAATTGTAGCATTTATTACATGTGCATTATGCATACAAAGCAATTGGAGTATTTGTTTGTTTTGCTAAAGTAGTGAACCAACATGTCGCTGAGCCTGTTCAGAATGAGAGAAAACAACAGGTGAGTTTATTTAATGCATACTGCTGATACACCTCTGTTTTATAAATCCTTTTAATAATTTTAAAGCGTTTTCTAAATTAAAAATAAATCCCCAGAAAAGAAACAACTGTTAGATTGCAAAATTTTATCTTATAGTACCCATAATAGATATATTTCCCGGTATATATGGCATATAAAAAAGTTTCACATTAATAATTCAAACACGAGCCACTGTTTGCTTCCTTTTCAGTCACATTTGTTACACTGTTACAAAAATACGTGAGTTTTTCTTCTCAAAGTAATTTTCTTATTGCCAAAAATCATTGACAATTTTTAAAATAAAGATCAGTCAAAATAATATCAATCTCCTCCTATAAAAACATATTCTGCCTATTAACTATTCTTATCTTGATTGCAAAACTAATTTTAAAATAGATCACATTAAAAAAATCTAATTTTAAAAATAGATCACTAGAAAGTAAATCATTTGTTTTGCTTAATACAACAGAAAACATATTTACATTGTGAGGAACATTCTACGAAATTTCATAGAATGCTTGCTCATAGTGAAAATCTAGTCTCCTGCTCAAATCATCTCTATTTAAAACTCATTATGCCACATTTTCACACACCTATGGTAGGGCACTAACTATAATTTTGTGAGAACTGGTAAACTTAAAAACACTTCTGTGTTTTACGTTGCATTTTTTATTTCAAAGGAAAAATATTTTAAATGCACATCCCTTTATTTTAATGGAAGTTCACTTGCTTATCTACCAAGACTTATCAGACATTCTAAAAGCATACAACTTGTAAAAGATATGAACTGACATTGAATTTTAGACAATAGAGAACAATGGCAGACATTTTGGTCTCAACAAGAGTATCTTGGCATAAAAATCCATATAATACAGGCAAATAATACTCAAAAGTTTCCATTCAAATAATAAATTCTGAAGCAGACAAGATTCCAACCAATCAAAAATACTGTGTCAACATGACCAAAGTTAGCAATAGTAGCAAAAATGCAACTGTAAAGAAAATACCTAAGAGAGTGGAAAAGGCAAATTTAGCACCAACTTCTATAAGGAACAAAGCCATTTACTAAATGTAGAAGTTGTAAGGGGAATGATATTTCTATTTCAGGAAAAAAATATTTCTTTTCACAATGGTGGTCTGTGTGAAGAAAGAGGAAGAGAAGAGGGGAAAAAACAGTGTAAGTGGGAAACACTAAGGCTGCCTGCCTTCCTTCGGTGATGCTGTGAGGGTAGACCCTCTGCCTTAAAAACCACTGCCAGAACCAAGCTACACAAAACATTTTGGCTGCAAGCCTATAACAGTGCCAGGCTGTTTTTCATTTTTGTGCTAGACTCCCTCAATTGAGACAGTGTGGGATTGTCACTTTGATGCACACAGAGAACAAAGAATAATATAGTTTGGGGGGGATTTTCTTGCCCCTTTAAAGTCAGGTTAGCATTTTGTTTTCTTTGACAGGTCTTGAAAAGACCCAAGAAACAAAGTTATGCCGAAGAATGCATTAACTGCCTAACAAAATTAATGTCAAGTACAATACTGTCAACAGTTTAAAAGCCATGTGAGAGATTAACATTTTTTAAAAGCAGACTTAAAAAGGGTCCAAGTCATATAGTTACCTGTTTAAGAGGCCAGAGACCAAGAAATACATGATTCACAACCACATAATCTTATTTAAAATCTGATGCCACGAAGGCAGACCATAAAATCCAGGCCAAAAAAAAAGTAGTATTATAATTTTTAGGTCACTATTCAGAGACAACTATGTCAGCTGCTATTCTGACCTTGAATTCTCTAAAATTAAATAATGTGATGAAAAGACTATAACATTAGAATCTGAATACTTTAAGCCTTCACAGAGAAAGAAGTGATAAGTGATCAAAAATGTTTAAAGAATTAAACCACAAATCATCGAAAAAGTTGCCACAGACACAAACAGGAAAACCGTCTCTTCAATCCTATTCAATTCTGTACTAGAAGTGAAGCTAACACAAATGAGAAAGCCGAGTATGTGCTGCTGTAACCTTCAACTAAATATATTATCTGAATCTGGTGACTAAAAGACACCAATAAGCCATTAGCTCCTAGATGTATCACCTTTTATCTTTCTAATGCACAAGATAAGTAAAGGTAGAGGTCCATTTTCTACAAACCAAATGAAAAGAAAGAATGAACTGTGACAAGCTCAGATCCCATGCCGGCATATTTTACACTAAGCTCAGCATCATCTAGAAGCAGTATGCTTCTCCCTGCCAATCAGAGGGGAAAAAAGTTGTGCTACTAACACAGTGTTGATAAATAGCACCAAACATCTACTAGTTCTTTCCTCCTGCACATTGCCATTGAATCAGCTGTTAAAAGAAGACCAATAGCTGTTACAGGAATAGCAAGAACTAAAGCACTTGCCTCAGATGTTATACATGGAGACATGGAGCATTTACCACCTGAGCCTATCTAATTTCCGGCAAAATGATCCCCTGCCCAGTTTTGTTCATGGCCACAGAATCTGATAACAAGTCACGATCCGTGTTGAGAAAGGCAGTGGGGGAGTGAGAACATGGGGAAGGAATCAAGTGAGAACAGTGGGCAAACTTCAAACTATATACACGCTTCTCTTATTATTCAAATTAGTGCCCGTGCACAGCGCTTCAGGATGACAAAAGCTGTGTTAAAGGGCTCAGGTACAATGATTTACTTTGGGTGGTAAGGGTAAGTCTGCCATGTAATTAAAGAATGCATTATTTTGCTCCTCACTGCTCGCCTTTTACATTTCTTTTTTCTCTAGGACATACTGATGATGGCATTACTGCATGGGACACTGATAGTTGCAGGCAAGGCATTCATGTAGTGCCAAAGTGGTCCAGAGAATGATGTCTGGCTGGCCTTAGTTCAACAAGGAATACGAGGCAAAAACAGAAAACAAAAAGAACGAAAGGTGGAGAAGAAGCCAGGCAATAGACTGTTTTTCTGTTTATTAATGGTACCATAAAATAAGGGGAAAATCTGGAAAAAGCAGCCAAGCTAACTCAATTACAAAGAAAGATTAAAGGAGTTAAATGTCTATAACTTGGCTGACAACCAAGGAACAATATGAGAGCTGTCCACAACTCTCCAAAGAATATACATAAAAAGAAAAGTAGAGAATTATTGTCTACTATAGATGTATGAATACATTAAATAATAATGAGATAAAAATAAAGAAATCTGACTTTAAGCAGCAGGGAAATAACCTGGTGAAACTTAAAAAAGGCTGCTTCCTTCTCTTTAGAAATATCAATCATCTTACTGACCCACACTGCAGTAAACGAGACATGATAGAAAATGCCCACATACTGCCAGAGGACTGAATTGATGGAGATATAAAAATGAAGTCCCATCTGCTTACCTGATTATCCAGATATACTGATGTCCCTTTACATATGTCCAATCTGGCTAATGCAGAGATACCTGTAAGATCACAAAAGACATAGTTAGTACCTTCAAAATAAACCCAGCCTGAATTCTCAATCCTGAGCTGGTCAAGAGCTAATTTGGATGATCTAGTCTGGCTCTTGGATATTCCAAGATGGGAGAAGAATGTGCAAGAACAGAAATGTTCTGAGTGATTCTAAGGTTATTCTTAATTAATAAGAGATTTTCAGTCTCTGCAGAGATTTTCCAAATCATTTGTAACTTAATAATAATAATTATTATTCAGATTAGGTCTTTAGCCTTGGTCATTGGATGGCCTTCAGGAATCTATGCTCTCCTGAATGATATATGTAAAATTGGTGGGTTTATGTAAATAAGTATCTCTGGGAGAAGGTCAATAGTTTGTCAGATTTGCCAAAAGGTCCATAGTCCAAAAAACTGTCAAGAACCTCTGCTGAGGCTTGCCTAACATCTCAGAGGCAGGTTGGAATGCATATGGATGAGCATTCCAGGTTTGGGGGATCCCCCCGCCGGGAAACACAGACACTTGCAGATCTGGGGTAAATACCTTAAGAATACTACTTTCTGGGAGAGCAATACATCAGGTTTAAACTGTTGCTTAACTCACAGAGCCCTGTGATCCCTGTAAGCCATGCACAGTCTTGAAGAGAACTAACACGTTACCATATATACCCAAGGGTGCCTATCATGACTTTTCCTGTTCTGTGTATATTAAAGTCAGGATTCCTAGGAATATCAATTCTGACAGGGCCAGAACTCACACTGTAACTCATCCAAAAAGGACCATTTATGACAAGAAAAAACAAGGTGTGATCAAATCAATAGGAAATGTGGCTCCAAAACAGTTTACATAAAAAATTACAGAATTAGCCAAACATATTCATTCTTTCTTTTCATTTGGTTTATAGAAAACGGACCTCTACCTTTACTTACCTTGTGCATTAGAAAATTACCTTTTGTGGTGTCCTGTTTCAAATAATAATCATGTATTGTATACTCTCAAAAAATAATGTATTTAGACAATCACCTTCTGGGCATCTACCATGCATTGCACTCAGTGCCGAGGACTCAGCAGTGAATAAGTCAACAAAGCCCTACTCTGCTGGAGCGTTACTTTGGGGAGTGGGAGAATGATGCAGGGTGACAAACAAGTATATCAGCAACATCATTTCAATTTGTGATACATGATATGAAAAAATAAACACGAAGATGTGACCAAGGCACGAGAGAGCAGTCTATACCCACCCAGCATGTCACAGAAATCTTCACTACAATCTCAGAGTCTGTCAGGGTCTTAAAGAGTTGAGATGAGGAAATGACGTTAGAGACAGCTAGCCAGACCAGTGAATTTCAGAGATGAAGACAGAAGAGTTATTCTAGAAGATAGTATCACTACCTCATTATCTCTACACTTCAAAATACATATGCCTCGACTGAATGATAATGTTATGATACAAGCTCTGCTTGTAGAATATAAACCTGAGAACAAGTAAATGAACAGCATTTCGTTATCTCCTTAAAATCTGGCTGACAATACTGTACACTATGTACCCTTAATATAAAGAACCACATTCTATCCAAATTCTTGTCAAGTTTCATTCTATTAAAATAATTTCATTTTTTGCTTCTACAGATAAATCTGATCAACTTGTGCTACCAAAGAAAGGGGAAAAGAGGGTACAAGGAAGCCAGCCTCCAAGACAGCCCCCAATAATCCTCACCTCAAGGAATGCATGCCTTTGTGTACTCCCTTTGCTCATATCGGGGTTGGTCTGAGTGATCAACAGAATGCAGAGGAAGTGACAGTGTCTGTCCTAAAAGATATTAGAGCTTCTTCCTTACTCTCTTGGATCTTCCTGGGGGAGGCCAGCTGCCAGCTGCCATGTTGTGAGGACACTCAAGCCATCCTAGGGAAAGGTACACAAGGCATCTTGCCAAATAGCCAGAATCAACATAACAGCCACGTGAGAGAGCCATTTTCTAAGCAGATCCTCCAGGCTAGTCAAACTTTCAAATGAATGTCACTCTGGCTGACATCTTGATTGCAGCTCATGAAAGACCAAGAGCCAGAATTACCCAGCCTGCACTCCAATCCCTTTCTAGCATGCACTCTAACTTCCTGTATTCACAAAGTTCAAGCTGAAAACATTTCCCAGATGCTCTTGCATCATGCCTTTGGTTGAACCCAGGTTCAACCAAATCCATTCAAGATTTAGAAAGCAGAAATGAGCAAATCAAGGAAGTAGCCAACTACAAATGAGATCAAATTCCGTAGTGAAGGCATTCTGTTCTTCTGAAACAACCATGTATGTAGATATGCTACTAAATGATCCCTAGTCTCATAGGCTCTAAGTAGCAAATGGCAGTGGAGTTTCTACTACAATAGTATCATGGGATGTTTCTCATGGCTTGTGCTGTTCCTTGCTATTCACAGTCAACTTTGGTTCCTTGGCACTTCTGCAAATTAAGTAGCATGTGATGCATCTCTGTATGCAACTCAAACTAGCTATTGTCTGCAACTAAGAACCCACTCTACATATGCAAATTCTCCTGTCTCATAACACTTTCATTCCTATCTCATGGTTGACACTCTTTTCCATTACTAAACCCTCTACCTATACTATGAGTCCTATTCATTTATGCTGTTTCTAGGAACTTGCACTATCCGTCTTCTCCTTTTCTTCTCCACTGGTTTCTTCTCCTTCATCAATAACAGTTCTTCCAACCCTACCAACTATCCCTGTGAAACTTCATAAATAATAACATAAGCTCGTTGTTTTCACTTCAACTTCCATTCAATACTTGAATTACCATAACTTGGCTTCCTTAGCTATCACTCTACCAAAACCACTATTGCTAAGGCTGGCAAGAACCAATTAGCTATTCTCACTTCTCACTCTACTAGACTGTGGCATTGGCACTCCTACTCCTACATACCACACCTCTTTGAAGCTTTAATGATAACAAGATTACAAACCTTCAGCCTCAATGAAATAATCTAGCATCCCACCTTCATACATCATCATCACCCATGTCCTCTGCACCTCTACTACCAGAGACATACAACAAATAGGCATACAGAGACCATTTCAAATGCTAACGCTATTCAAATATTCTATTTCTTAATGGCCTAACTGCTTAGACAACCAAAAAGACAGATATATGCACTGTTAAAAAAAAAAAAAAAAAAAAAAAAAACACAGTGGATTCTATAAGCTATTGATATAGAAATGTATTTCACTATTTTTCAGTTATTTAAGGAAAAATAAATGTTTGGACGTCAGAGATTCCAAAACAGCAGTGCTACAAAACAAGTGTACCACTTCTTAAAACTAACTTCGCAAAGCTAAAAGTTTATTATTATTATTTGTTTAACACTTGTAAGCTAGAATATCTACAATTGCCAACCTAAGCTAGCATCCCCGAGCCCTCTAGTTTTGAATGTGAGGTTTTCTATGACATCTGTCATCTCACTAACCAGAAGTGATGCTGCTGACTTGATAGGCAGGGGGTGGGAGGGGAGTTGACCCATTCCTTCCTCCCTGCTAAAGCTAAAATCTCTTAAAAGGCTGGCCTCCCAGAATGATGTGGACCAAGCTTCTTTGGTTAGGGGTGTACTCAGCCCGTTTCTTTAAACTGCTCAGAAGACAGAACTTTACAGAAAACCCACAAAAAAAAGGTTTATTTTCATTAATTTGCTTTGTGTTGCCATCATTCATTGTCTTCATTTTTAATTCAGTGACATGTATAGCCAAATGAAATGAAGTACAGTTTTCCTCAATCTGTCTCAGTCTACTCTTCATCTTCTGGGACCCAATTCATGTGATCTTTTAACAACTATTTATTTCACACCAAACTAGTTATCTCCCCAAAGCCTACCAATCTAGCCTCTGGGCATATTTCCTAAATAAAAGCACTAGATCTCTGTAAACCTAAAATTTGCATACTAAAGGAACAAATCAGCTATCAAAAGGCCTAGTAGTATATAGCAGTTGCTCACCTCTAAGCAGAGTTTAAAATTCATTTCAATTTATTATTTTTTAAAGAAACAGCAATTGACTTTTTCCCTTTGTAAAATACAGTGTTTAATAGGCCTAGTTAAATTAGAGGTGATAGTGTAAAGCAAGTGTTTTAAATTGGTAAATTCTAAACCTTTTAATAAAAGTACATCAGTCAGAAGTTTTAATAAGACCCAGCAGGACAGAGAAGAATTAACGGTCTGTAGGAATCAAAAGGGGGTGATAGGCAATGATAACCTTAAACATTTGCATATGGATTTATCATTTCATTGCTTAAAGGTTAATGAAATTATGTGGTATTTTGCCCACTCTTTTCCAGTAAATGATTTCATGCCTTGATTTGTATATACTTACCAACTGAATCATATAAAGAAAAAAAGACTCCTTTATCAATTAATCTACAACATTTTATTTATACACTTCTGGGTGCACAATTATCATTACCTATTCTAACCAATAACTGGGTCCCCTAAAACAAAATGTAAGGTTTCCAAAGCATCTCAGAAAGAGGAACAAACTCACAATCAGAACTCTGAAAGTATACTAAATTGTTAATGTGACTGCTTTTTTAAAAATTAGATATATTCCTTTATTTACTTTATACTTCAAGTCAACTATTGGAATTACTTGCTTTTGCCAAATATTAACATAAAATCCACCCTAGAGATTGATGAAGGCATTCAGGATACACTGAGGGTGAAGATGGAGAAATGCAAACAGTCCACAAAAACAAGTAGAACAGGTTAAAACAATAAAAGGATTCTAGGCCGAAGCAATTGTTTTAAAACATAACAGCATAAAAACAACACAGTACTGAGGCCTTGCCTCACTGAGCATCCAGGAGGGTGCAGGATCAGCTGCTTCACTTAATACCCAGTTCTAAGAAAAAACTGCAAAGAGCCTCACTTAGGCAGAATGGTGCTTCCTATCCTGGCTGCACGTTAGAATTCCCTGGACAGCTTAAAACAAAAACCTAAAAATCCACACTTAGGCCCA